TGCCTGCAACCTAACAAATCAACATCTGTTACTTTAAAACAACTGAAGAAATCGATGCGATATCTCGATATAGAAGTTACCAACCAACATTCGCGCTGTTGAAAACAAATGATAAACAAAGCACGCAAGAATAGCACTCGAATAACATGCCTGAAAACTCGAGTTTTGAATATAAATCAAAGTTATCAGCAATGAATGCAATACTTCTGAGGACCGTGAAGAAAAATCAAAGTCGTCACTGAAACCAGAGACCCCGAATGAGGTTCCAGGTAGGCCACGCCAACAAATGAAAGATCTCTACAATTGTTTGTGAGCAAAGGCTTGAACGGGATACGCCCGAGTTTCAGTGACGCCTCTATCATGCACCACCGGTCGTAATTTTCTGGTTAACACAAACGTGCGGTGGCCGACATTTAAAATGAATATATAATAATAAAAATATTAGGAGCTAGAAAATCCGTGGAAAATATCTTAACGTAGTTAGTTGTCATGAATTTAGTTTAGGGAGTTAACTGGATTACCAAGTACCGTTGATTTCAGAAGACTTTTCGGCTGCACTGTATAATCGTAAAAGGTCTTCGTGTACCCAGACGGTTCAACGACCCCAAGTGCATCAGATGTACGACTCCGCCTAGCTGAGGATTATGGGCGGTGTGGGCAATGTCTCCATGCATTCCAAGGTACTGGGGGACAAGAAGGGTGGTCAGCTCATGCCATTGCTACGGAATTTTTATAAGGACGCATTGCACCGGTCCGCCCACACGCTGTGACTCCAAAAATCACTTTGAGTTAAAAGTATTTGGGAGAGTTGCTGATGAGAATATGTAATCTCTTTAAGGAGGACGTATAAAAGGTGAATGCAGATAACTATGCACTGTGTGCGGTTTAGCAAATGGAATGATTTGACCTAAGACGATTAGATAGACGAAGCATTTGGCACTCATGGGACACATACGAGATTTCAGGCTGAAAACCTGACAAAAAAAATTATATTTTCTTAGTAAAATATTTGAAATAAACTTTGTAGTCTTTAACACAACAAATACTCACCTCCTTAAATGATTCTCAGTTGATCAGGGTATTTTATTTACTGTCAATAGCCTATCTTGTTCAAGAAAGCTCACCAACTGGACCCAGTACTGGACCAGTTTAATCTATTTTACAGATTTTATATTCATCGGAGTCTCCAAGTGATCTCTTCAGATTTTACTTACATCTACAATGAAACGCCCTGATTTTGGAGAGTTTTTAAAAATAGGCAAATGTTTTTTTTTTCCTTCAAGTCTTAAAGGTCTCCTGCGTATTACAGGAGTTCAAATTCCCGCCTAAATTTTTAGGCTACCTCACGGGCCACCGTTGGGGCGCTGTTGTCATTTCACGCAAAGATGGCGTCAGCTCAGGAGAAGGCGCGAGTTGTTGTGTGGTTTTCTGAGTTTAAGTCCATTGTGAGGGTGCAAAGGGAGTTTCGTCGTGTTTATCAGAAAGCAGCATCAGACGCTAAGAGGATTAAAGCATGGCACAACAAGTTTCTGGAGAATGGGAGCGTCTTGAAAGGGCGCGGAGGAGGCCAGCAACGTGTCTCCGATGAGAAGGTAGAGAAAGTCCTTCAAGCGTTCATCCGAAGTCCAAGGAAGTCAATTCGTCGGGCTTCACGGGAACTGCAGATGCCACGAGCAACTGTGCATAAGGTTTTCCAAAAGAGGTTGCGTCTCTATGCAGCGAGCTCTGAATGTAATATTTCCAGGCCGTTGGATAGGACGAGATACACCAACGGATTGGCCTCCTGACATTACGCCATTAAAGTGCGAGACCTCCGGGCCCGGATTTTGGAAGCATGTTGCAGCGGTCCTGGGCAGAACTCGATTACAGACTACATATCCTACGTGTCACAAACGGCGCTCACGTACAAGTGTATTGATTTTTTAATTAAACTTGATGTGTTGTGTGACTGATATTTATCAATAAATAGGCCATATCTCTATTCCTTACTTCCTGAGAATACGATAAAATTCGGTCGTTTCATTGTAGACACCCTGTATATCCTGCCCATTACATGCTCCTTCATTTCGTCATTCTAGTAATTCTGATGTAAAGAGCCCAATAAAATTTAACCAAGAATGGTTTCTCTTGTATCTTCATATATTCTCCTCTTTCGTCCTTTAATTCATTCGTTTTGCACTTTATTTCCTTTCCCGTATTCCTTTTCTATCCCTTCCTTGCTTTTTCGTCCCTCGTCTTACTTCGCACATCTCATTGTCTGTATCGATTTCTTAAAATTAATATCATAGTTATGGGCCATTGAATTTCGAAGGATTTGATGATTTGTGCCATAGCATAACACAGACACTGATTTTTGTATCACTCATGAAAAATGACGCCGATGTGATATCTTAAGCACGTTCACAGCACTCCTGTGGAGCGTCTCTCCATCTCGATAAAGGACGAATGGTTACAAATAAGATCTGGTATAGAGGTTATGCCTTTGCAAGCTGATCCGAAGTCATACTTTCTTATTTTTAAGATAGTGTAATTGCGTCATATTGTGAATATTATAACAATTATTTATTTTAATCCGTCTTATCACAATATTTAAAATTTCTTATAATTAAGATAATAAAATATCATTGATGTTCCATATCGATTGATCGATTTACATTTCGGAACATTTACACAACATGTTTCGGTTTTTATAAAACCATCATCAGGTGTAAAATATATCTAAGAACTTAAAACTCATTATTATCTTAAATATAAGAAATTTTAAATATTGTGATCAGACGGATTAAAATAAATAATTGTTATTTATGTTATTTTATAAAATCTGTAATACCAGAGTGACGGATGATCAAATTTGTTAGGTGGAACGGTATTCCTCCGCCATGACGCCATTACCCATGATCCTTTTAGATGTCGTGATGACGTCATTTCCTGAATTTTCTCAGCGTAATGTAGCAAAAATTAAGGCATTTAGACTACTGTTGTTTTATTTCCCCATGGTAACCAGTACTTCATCTGGCAAAACTGAAATCCTGGCGAATGCGTAAAAATATAATTGTCCCTCTATATGTTTGTTTTCTAACTAGTTGAATGGAAAGTTCCCCACTGGTCCCGGGAAGCCTATAAAATTTATTATTTTCATTATGCTAAAATATTCCTCTCATCTCCATTTTCTCCTCAATCTGTGTTCCTTCTTAAGAAACCAAGTTTCACACTTACGTAAAACAAATCATGTAATTCCTTGATATGACAAACATAAAATTTAGTTATTTGTAGGTTTTAACAGAGCCCAGGTTAGTCTATCCTGCGTTGGGCCTCCTAATATTTTTTTTTTTACAAATAACTCACCCACTCTGTGGAAACAGCATAACATGTCCCGTGTCCTCAGAGGTGCATTAGCCCATTTCGTGAGACTCAACGCCGGAAATACGTCATCGGGGTCGACTGTCCCCCACGGCTGTTCGAGGGTTCGTCGAACCTTGTCATTTATCTTGTCAGTTGTCAGAATATTTCTTTTTCACGCTGATGTGATCTTCGACTGACACGTAACACAGCACAGTGGCGACTCTGGTGTCAGATCTACAAGTTAAATGCCTCCAGCTAAATACTAAGCTACAGATTTATTTGGTACTGTGACTGACTTAATCTGGCGCTGTTTTTTATACTTACTGAACCTTTGAATTGTTTTATTTGTTGTTCCTTAAAGCCGAATACCCAACCCTTTCACGGTCAAGTACGAGTACACTCGTTGTCCAGTTAATCTTCTGCGCCAACCGAAATTTTACTAGTTTCCAAGCTTTCTGATAATAATCCGTGAATAAGTTTGTTGGATGTTTAATTGGAGGTTCAAATTTCCGCCTTAGGATTTGGCTAACACTTTCGAAAAAAAGTATGCACTGAACTGTCATTGCCATTTTATAAGTCCAAGAACTTAATTCTGCTCTGTTTGTAATTTTTTTTTTAACAAGTCGACAGATTTTAATAAAAATCGGTGTGAAGGATTTATCAGAAAGTTTAAAATCGTAGACATTATTTTCCTGTCGCTTAAGTTTATAAATTAACTCTACGGTCGACCAAACATGATTTCCTTTCTTCAATGCAAAACTACAGTTACTGGTGACCGAAACTTTCTCGTACGACCTTTTCCAATGGCTGAAGGATCAAACTTGTCTTCCGGAATTTTTTAAAAAATAACCCCCTTAAGGAGACTATTAGGTATTTACCTAATCTGCTTCTCTTGTGTGGACGTTAGTTAATTGCCTACAACATAACAACAGCGTACTTAATTATTATTTTATGTTTTATATTTTAATTAATTATCCAGTTCGATCACTTGCTGAATGAACGCATATTTTCTGAGTGCACAGCTTGGAAAGACGCTTAGGAAAATTAGCAACGTGATCAGCGATCGACAATATTAACTTCGAGAGCGACCAATTCCTCCGTCGAAAATATTACCGTTCATTATGCACACGTGACAGAATTTTTAACCCACGAATTGCTGTTATTATTATTATTTTTATTATTTATTTAGTGTTCTGTCTGACGACAGGTCCATATGAACAGGATCCTTCCATCCTTTTCTCGGACTGGGACCTGTTCATATACGTTCTTGGCAGATGATCCAGAAGTGGTTTGCCATTGCCTTCGTCTGTGTGTGAATGGAGTAATTGTTGCCACGGAGAAACCGGGGAAGCCCCCGGAGGAAAACCCCGTGTTGCCTAGACCACGATCTTGCCCAACACAAGTTATAAATTCCGGCACCAACTGTAAGTTTTACTTTTGTTCCGAAAGTTCATTTTATCGTCTATTTACACAAAACTGAAGTACCAAAATATGTAACTCTGTAGTTGTCCAGTACAGTTTATTAAAGTTGGGTGCTGCAGATAAATTTCTGAAAGGTTGAATAATAGTTAACGTTTTTACCGACTGAACTCCGCCTGCCACCTCCAAGCCACGGTTATGTATTTATTGTGTGTAAATAGATGGCAGGACATCTGTTGCTATATGAAACGCAGTGGAACAATCGATTTATTTCATAGTTTTAATTACTTTGTGGCTATATCGGTGTACGTAGAATTGTACTGTAAAATAAGATTTATTTAAATGAAAAGAGTTGCTACTTTGGTCTGGACATAGAATTTAGAGGTCTGAATTCATAATAAACGAAACATATCAGTTACTGAATAGTATATAATAGGATAACAAAATGGTGAAAAGGAAACGCCCCAACACTGTGAGTATTAAATATGTTTTAATTAGGTTATGTTCATGCTTAACTTACACCAAAACTGGGAGCCAGAATTAAATTATAATTCACCCAATTATTTTTTTTCTATTTGCAGCAGTCATTCGAAAAACCATTGGTGCTAGGTTATGATAGGTAACAAAACTTGAATAGGAAGTGGTTGATGTGGAAATTAGTAGTAGTTCAGTGTTAGTGTAATGCATATTGGATTGACCTTTTTTGTAATAAAGACTAGACGTTTGTTCTGGCGATGTGGAACCACTAGGTTACTTAATGCCAGTGACCTCATTTCAAACTATTGGATTTACAGAACATCATCCTTCTCTCATAATTATTTGCAGTTCTGGGGGAATGTGGTGGTAGGTGCAGCTGTTTTAAATCTTCAGAAGTAAAATCTGCTATGTTACCATGTGAACTAAATGATTTCCAGGGAAGTTTTGGGTGTTTGTAAATTGTTGTAAGATAAAATCATTTGTCTGTAAGGGAACTGTTTACAAAGAATGTTTTTCAGTCTGTTTTCTATACAAACTATGATTTTTTTTGTAGCCACTTGGAGATGGAGACAGTGCACCAAGCAGTGTGGGTGGCTCTGGGGTACCAAGCCCTGTTTCAGTTGCAGCAGCCGATGTAACCATGGAAGAAGTGAAAGAGGAGAAGAAACCTATTTTCAAAGATCCAGACTTTCAGGTACATTAGAATTCAGTATAGTTTGCACAGACTGTACTGTGTTGAAAACTGCACCCTTGGTTTAGAAGTCTTTATTATTTTTATCCTTCATGCAAGGCTCTTGTCATTGTCCTTGATTATTATGTCCCTTTCTTACTTTTCTATATGTTATACTTCTACCTATATTATATATGTATTTTAAGTGTCTCAGCAAAAGTACAAGTATGATATGAATTTGTAAGGAAAATACATGTGTCTGAGAGGGATGAGATCTACTAAGCAATTCTTCATCATCATCTATAGCGTTTCAGCCCGTTTTTGGGCCATGACCTCCCCACTTAGGAGGATTCTTGGTCTTTTGAAGCATGCATTTGTGAGTAGTGAGTGACCAGCCCACTAACTGCGTGATTTCTACTCAATCCTGATTTGACTGCCAGAGCCATCTAGCAGTAAATCAGGAGACTAGGGTGAGAAATGGCCGCAGAATTTTGCTTATGAAAATGAAATGAATTTTGTAAAGACATTACACATATTTTTTAGCTTTTGTGACTCACCATCAGTCAGTATTCGTACAAGAGACAAAATATTACCTAAAATTTGGAGAAGTAGTTGTGAGATATATATTATTAGAAATAAAATTTTATCAGCTTTACAGTGAGTTCTAGAATATTTCTCTAAGTACATTATCAAAGGAGTTGTTAAATAAAAACTTCACTCACATACCTTTCTTTACTCTGGTGTTGGTTATCCTTTAACACTCTATTTAAAAAACCATTTGACAAATAAAAAGGATAGGCAGCTGCTTGGCTGTGGGGCCAATGTGTATACCAAATTTCATTACAGTCTGAGATGATGAGGTGTAAATTTTACTTTGAGGTGTGTCCCATGAGTTACAGCATAATAACATAGTCCATCACACTCCGTGTGTTTCTAAACTGAGCTGTAGTGAAGTATTCTCAGACGATCATGTTGCAGGCTAAGACATTGTCTGAAATGTTGGATCACAACTCCATTCTCACTTGGCTGATCACCTGAGAAGACTTAATTGCATTCTGCCACTCAAAGCTTCAAGTCTTACATAAACTAAATTGCATTTATACTGTGTTGTGATCATTTTCCTTGATTTGAATGCCCTCATTTGTTATTGTATGCATTTGCCATAGTTATCGCAATGATTGGGTTGTGTCAAAAGAGCTCTTCCTGACTTACAGCTGACCTTGTCTTCATGTTTCAGCATAGCAGCAAAACAAGCAACAAGAAAAGGGCGTGGCGGTCTTTGAAGCAGATTGTCACTCAAGAGAGGGCATTGCAATGGGGAGAGGATTTTGTGCACTGTAAGTTAACTGACGCGTAAAGAAGTATTGTCAGAATACTTTAAATCCATCTAATCCTCCTTAGTGCAATCAACATTTGTGTCTTATACATCTAAAACAAACATAAAGTGAATTAATTTAAATAATACAGGAAGATGAAAAAAAGTTGCACATCCCATTCCATGTTTTATTTGTCAAAAAAAATTAATTATAGTGAAATCGGTAAACAAAAAATAATGTATTTAGTGTAAAAAGTGTCCACTGCATTCAATGATGCATGTATCCACTCGTTTCCTCATGTTTGATGCGGCTCAGTGAAGACCTTTCAAAATCAATTTCATTATAACCTTATCTACTCTTCCTTAACCTAACCTACCCTACCAGGCCAACCTAACCTTCCTTAACATGAGCTAATGTCACCAAACCCCTCTACACAACTGAAACTAACCTAATTCAACCTCATATGACCCATCCTAACCTAACCCATCCTAACCTAACCCAACTTAACCTAACCTAAAGTAACAGAGTTCAACCTAACCCAAAAAACTCAACCTTTCCATGTCTAACCTAACCTACCCTACCCTGACACAAGCTTATTCATCTGAACCAAACAATTAACCCAACCTAATTTATACTAACCTTTCCCATCCAAACCTAACCTAACCTAACCTAACTTGCAGGTACTGTTAGTCCATTCACATGAAAATATTGAACAGTGACAGGTGAACAGATTATATAATATTTCACTTACAATAGTGACTGGTTAACATTACTAAGGATAATTTAACTACCGTAACCGTACTCATCTTTTTCAGATAGCACCATTGACGCTCCACCATCTTTTAAACCTTCCAAGAAGTATTCGGACATTTCCGGACTGTTGGTACGTACCAGGAGCCCCCACTTTAACCTGTGATGTGTGGAAAAGGATTTGCTCAGTCTCTTTGACCTTCATTACAGTTTGTTTTAAGAAAAACCCAGATGAAGCCAAGGTTATTTTAAGTGTAGTTTTATAATTCATGCTATTTTTACTACACATGGAAGTATGTAGAGGAAATCATGTGTTCTTCCCAGAACTTTTATTTCCAGCCATTAGGCATGAAACTCGTCCGACTGCTTGTTTTGCCATTTCCTTACTTTGTTTACACAATGTATGCAAATCGCTTGCCCATCCATCCATCCTGGTGATATTTAGTGATCCACATTACAACACAGCCGTATTTGATCCCAGGATTAAACACTGAAAGTAATCTGTTCCATTTCCTGTTTGTGACTGAGAAGTATTTTCTGAACAAGTTGTCTTATGATTTGTTACAGGCAAAGTACACAGACCCACAGACAAAACTGTACTATGCACTGGCTGAGGAATTCTCCACAATCCGAAGTTTGCCAATGGATATCGCAGCTGGTTACCTAGCTCTGCGCAGGGCTAACAACCCCATGGGGTGACTGTGACTTGTCTTCTGGTCATCCTGTTGTTGTAAAGTATCTGTACCACAGAGCATTTGTGTTCAAGCTGTTGTTCCTTGGTTGTGATATTTTGTCGCCACTTTGTCTCTACCTTTATAACCACATTGAGGTGAAGTAAGGACTCCCTCATATCATGTCCATTTGTAGTAGAAGAGATAGGAAGTGCAGTAAATGTATTTTACCAATGGCTAAATTCTGTAAATTGGCTCATTGACCTGTGATTATGTTTGCTTTATTTCTGCATGAGAAGGGCTGTTTACGCTTTCGTCTCTGAAACTGCTACACATATATCAGTGGGTCTCATATACAAAATGCCTGATAGATTTAATTTTCATTACAATAGGTTCACTGTAACCTGTACTTTATACGGTGCTGAAATCAAACGCATTTCTCAAGAAAAAGGCCCATCTCAACAGATACTGGTAAAGTAAAGCTGTCATGCTACGTACCATGGTGGCACTCAGGGGAAGAGAGCTACTTATTCTTGACCTTGGCACTGCATGGGGATGAGTGGTCAGCGTCATGCCCCAGCCACATTTTTACCCCTGGAAAAGGATCCCCAGTACTCATTGGATAAGAGGCTGAGTGGGCGTCAGAACCGGTCTGGATGCAGAGGCTAGAAGAAAAATTCCTTGTCTCATCTGGGGACTGAACCCTGTTCATTAAGTCCATAGAAACTACTAACAGAGCTGGATCTCAAGAGATTGGTACATGGTACAAAATGCACGTCAAGAATTTCAGACTTGATAGTTTTATTGTCAGGAAAACCTTGCAGATCATCTTAATCTACATCTGGAAGAAGTTTCGTCTATGATCGAACCAGTGTGACTGGATTCTTCGAAGACCATGCCCAAAGTACACAGTATACAGCATCCAAGTCATTTTATTTCTATAATGCTATTATACTATAATATTCATTGGCAAGAATTCTAAGTAGGTCAGCCTGGCAGTAACTTTTTCTTGAAATCGAGTTATTGGTGGAAATCCATTTTATGAAGTTTTGCAGAAATCATGATGAGCCAGTATTTTTTGTAGTCTGCGTTGTTTTTTTAAATCCAGGGATTCTTGACTGAGAATAGAAATGATGTTAAGCTCATGCTGTATGAAATTTGGGGTCCAAGTCCTAATGGCATTACAACCCAGAACACCAACACTGACTTATGCTAAACTGGCAGACCTGGCAAGCAAGACAACCACTTTTGGATATTTTGTTCTAAAGTTTTATATGAAAACAAGCATTTGTAAAAATGCATTTCTTGATCAGTGTAAGCCTAGCAGAACTGTCTCAAGAGGTCAACCTGCCTCTTCAAATGTACAAATTATATCTCCAGGGAGATGTTCTTAACTTTAAAAAATGGGAATACATAAAGAAGCTAAAAAGAAGGTATTTCTATTGATTTCTTAACATTTTACAGGGATTCTTCAATGGTTGACTCAAGTAATTGGCCTGAAGCAGAGGTAGAAAATAAATTATAGATGGTTCCAATTGTCCCTTCTCCATTTTTTTTATTTATACTTATTACATAAATTCTTATGCCTATTTTAAAGTTGAATCTCTTATATTATGTACACATCCTTCTTACTTTCTTACGTGCTTAATGTTCTGCACTGTGTAAAGAGTTGCTATATTAATATATTATTCTAATGTAAATTATGTGTATAATGAAGTTATATATTACTAAAATATAAAATTAATTTTTCTCAAAGAACAGTGGCATAATTAGTAAATATTAAGTAACAATAATAGCATATTCAGTAAATCTGTGAGTACAGAAACAATGTAAGTTACATTCTGAGAAAGTTTCTTATGATAGATGAAACATGACTAGCACTCCCAGTACTTTGTAAAATGGTTATTTTATATTAGTATAATCAGAACACAACAAGAAGCAATTAAAAATAATTCTTCTTTTGTCTTCTGAAAACGTTTTTGCTTCCTGAATTATTTTTGAAGTCAATGATTCAGTTGAAGACTGTGCACTATGAGAAGCTGTCAAGGCAAATGTGATGTGCAAAATCACAGTTACATTTGGAACATGCTCCACTTTCCACACTTGTTTCGTCATTCAAATATAATGTAGCCAATGACTTTGAGGAAACTGTACAATTGTCAAGGACAGTTAGCTTTTTATGCATCTTTCAAATGAGATGCTACCATATACACAAGGACTTTTACTGTAACAGTTTGAGCCGTGACACTGGCTCAAAGTGACTCCATCATTTATAATATCAAGTTTTCAATGTAAATAAATTCACAGTATTTTGTGTAACTATGTAGTTGTATTAAGAAATTAAATACAAGGTGAATAATTGAATATGGTAATCATCAGTTGTTATGTCGGCTGCATCTGGTCCCCTGAAAGAACAAGTCACACAAGGCAAGACTCGTACCAGTGTGACTGTTGTCACACATCTTTGTTCTAGACAAGAACATCAGATGTGTGGAAATATTTGTTAAAACCATGGTCTTTTGAATTACTTGGTTGAAGAAGCTTAAAAGCTAAAATGAGGGTAGTCACTTTTCAACAGTAGCAAGATGTGTGTCTGAAAGGGGAGGGTGGAAAAAACTGAATATGGTGTATGATCTGAAGCTTTCATAGCTGCTAAGGATAATATTATTCTTTGGCTACCAGCTGTGTAAGTTGGCTTAATATAGAAAATAATGTTTCAAGAACCATCTTCTTCCTTGTCCTCATGGTTCTGAGGACGATGACGGTTCTCAAAATGGCGTTTTCTTTATTAAGCCACCTTACACAGCTGGTAGCCTGAGTAGAATTTACTAAACAATATTGTGATATGTAGTTTTACAGATACTGCCATTTCAGAGGAGCTTACTGCCCACTACTCTGAACCCAAATCATTTAAAGTAAGGCCAGAATCTGGAAACCCAGTTGTGAATGTACTGATACTTCTAACTTTTAAATTCCAATTTGACTCAGTTTACTACAGTGAAAGTTGAAGATTATCCTCATCTGAATTTTGTTGACTCCCATTTCACAGGAATGACAAGATTAAAGAAAAAAAAGTAGCTAGCACACCATGTGTTTTCACTTTGATGGACTTTACTTAGCATATAAAATGCATACAAAATGTAGAACTACAAGAAAAGCTTTTCGATCCAGCATGTGGATTCATGACACAAGACTTGGTGCTTTTTTCTTTAATCACAAAAAAAAATATAATGTTGCCAACCACTAGACCATTCTCAAATCAAGGTAAGTCCTCAAAGATTTTTACAAAATCTTTGTGCATTGAATCATACCATGGGTCAATCATAACAACATGAATATCATTAGAAACAAATTATTCAAACTCTTCAGCCATTTGACATTCTACACATGAATCACAACTGGCAATGCCATCTCAACATATATATTACACATACTTATTTTGATCTCAAAAAGATTTGAGAAAGAGAACACTATGTGGCCACATTTACATGGGTTCATAGCTTTTTTTGGTACTGTATATACAAGGAATTAGAATTTAATTAATGTGATACCAACAGTTTGCAACAAGAGAATATTCATTATTCCTATAAATATAACCTAGAAACTTACTTTTAATAGTTATCAATACGTGTATGTTAAAAAATATTTGAATTTCAACAGTAATGCACCGTTAATAAATAAAACAGAAGCTAACTTGAAACCCAACAATCATATTCTTGTAACAAATACTGGATGGAATGCATTATTGCCACCATTAATCACATGTAATATCATGTGAGGGACTACATATTAAAAGCCAAGAGTGAAGAAGTAACATTACTCATGTGAAAACTGCGTTGTGAGTAGACAAATAATTCTGTATGCTTTATGCATTTTGTGAACATGATATCATTTCTGACTATCTCAGTATTTGTTTATTGTAACAATCTCAGACCAAAGACACTATGCTCTTTCTCCCAACAGAAAGAGGAATGTTCTTTTGTCTTAACTCCTGGCTTTACAGTGCAATGTCCTTCCAGTTAAGAACAATTGGTAATGGATACTAACCCTCTGAAGCTGAAGCTATTCTAAATAATATTTAATAATTCAGTCTGTACCTCAAAAAACAGCTTCGTTACAAAGATCAGTTAGTTGATGCTGTTTTGGGAAATAACAGCTGTTTACTCAGACAATAATATAAAAAACATGAATATACTCAGTGGGGGTAAATGCAGACTTTCTAATTATTAAACCAAGTGGCACTGTTGCCACTGGGCTTTAAAGAGTCAACTAAATATATTCCTCCAAAGTATTGCAAATAAAGCTGTCCTGCTATATACCATGTAGGCACTTGGGGGGAGAGGAAAAATCCTCTGCCCCTGTGGGGGATCAAACCCCGTTTGTCCAGTCTGTAGCCAGTCACTATACTGACTGAGCTACAAATTGGCTGCACTTTATCTCCAGGAAAGGAACCCGGTACCCACTGGACAGAAGGCTGGGTGGGACCCAAAGCCAGTCGACACAGAGGCTAGAGGAAAAATCCTCTGCTTGTGTTGGGGATCAAACCTTGGTCATGCAAAATGTAGTCAGTAACAAAACTCACAGAGTTATCCCAGCTCCAAAAGCAATGCAAATACTATTACTAAAGGAGATTCTGTTATAAACAGTGGCAAAACTGCATAATCAGTGGTTCATTATTCTGGTGGAACTGGCAAGTAACACCATTGTAAAATTGAGAACTGAATAGTGCTGTGCACACAAGGAGATTCCAGATTAAAGACCAGTTCCCTTGATTTCACCATTGTCAGCAAAGTGAAATGCTGAGTCAAAAGTAATGACTGCTCACGTGATATATGAAGAGGATAGATGGGTTCACTGGACATTATTTATTACGTAGTACTAAAATCAGAACACAGGAATGAGCAGAAAAGTCCAGCAATGGGCAAACACTATTAGAATAACATAATAGGACTTCTTCAATAGTGTGTCGCCCATGTGAAATGGTCATAATTGTACTGTATCATTGTTCTAGTGCAAAAGACAACAGAATAATGCCAGTCATAACTTATACTTTATGCACAATGCAATAAAGTAAAAACAGTGTTCAGAGTTTGGTAGATTTGTCAATTTGCTTCTCTGAGGGACAAAAATGGTTTAATTACTTTTACAGTTTCCTGGTTACCCACACCTAAGCAAAGCCATCTCATTCTTACATATGACAAGATTCAATTTAAATTAGGTTCTTTTTTAATTTCATCTCCTACAAACCAATTTCTTATATGTTTACCTGAACAAGGTGTCAGGTTCTTCAAAGTAGTTTCAATTTCAGTCAAAACTGTTTACCTAAATCTGTGTTAATCTTTAAGTTCAGAATTCAAAAATAATCCTGTAATTTCAAGCACATTAGGGGAAACCACAAATTGCTGGATTATTCCTCATCTAGCATTACTTTCCAAGTGGCAGAGGATCTGTGATACAAACTGACGAAAATTCCACTGAATCACATTTTTGACCACATAGTCTTTGTTCTGAGCAAATCATGGAAGACATTTAAAACTCTAGTGGCTTATCATTGGGCTTAATGTGGAACACCAAATCATACATCTGTACTGTTACCACAGTGCCAACTATTGGCTTGTGGTACATTTGCTTTAGGTCAAAACCCTTTTTCAGATAAAGCTCACGAGCTGCATCATGACATTCAGATGTCACGAGCTCTACAGCTGAGTACCCCTTATCCTTGCAGAATCTCAATGCCTCATCCACAAGCACAGATGCAATACCCTTCCGCTGGTACTTCGGATTTACTGCCATTCTCCTCAGCCACGCTGTACCATCGCAATGCCTGCTTCTAGTGATGGCTATTGTGCCCACAATTTTCTTTACATGGTGATCTGCCAGCTCAATATTGTTGTCAATGATCTCTCGTTCTGTCATTATTTTGTATTTGATCTGATTTGGATCTCTCGTCATGAAATAGGGTTCATGGGCTTCAGCAACCCAAAATCCTGTATATTCGGAGGACATATACACACGTGGTATGTTTGATACGTCTTGTGTCATTTCCAACGCTTTGAATGTATGCCCAAGCCATATAAATACATACATGAGTATTATAACAGCTGGAATTGAACAAAAACAGACACTGAATGGTACACCTAAAAAAATGAACAATATAGCTGATGTGAGAATCATTGTCTGGAAAGTAATTTCTCGGGTTAGGCCAGCAATAAAGGCTGCATTAACAGTTGACATTGTTCCATCCTTAACAATTTCACGACAAAATAACTCATCTCCAGGTTTGTAATAACGTATAATTATCAAATGATACATTGATTAGGATCAGATTCAAACAAACGTTCTTAATTTCAACTTTACTTTGCGCACGTGATCACTGAATCACAGATGATCAGAAAATGTGCACCTTAGCACAAGTCAGACTAACACTGCACAGACAATATCCATGTGATATAGCAATTAACTGTAACCAATATATTCTCGATGGTCTTTGAGGTAGAACATAATTTCGGCTTTCGGGTGAGAGCCGCGTCAGATGTATGGGGTTAACCAACATTTCTGCGAATACTGCAGTTGCCGTATGAGGTGATGTCAGTTATGAAGGCATTCTTTGAGTAGAGTTTTGCAACCGATATTCCACCATAAGGTTTCAGGTGTACCGCGAATTCGTAAAAGAAATAGTATCCCACGTTATAGTTAGAAAAGGGCAATATCTTATATTTCGTAATACACACACACTAGTTAATTATCGGTAGTTTTATAAAACAGTTGTAATGTTTTGTTTATATATGTCTGCATTCTTATACACAAGCTTTTCTGTGCAGATATTTATTTATAACCATGCATCGTTTCGTATCCCCTTTTTACGTGAAGCGACATTTCATGGTTTGCCGTCATGTGTTTCTGACAAATTAGGGTGTAACGCAGATGAAAATTTGTTGCTAAACATTGCTTTAAGGTACAAAATTGTTCTCCAATTGGTAAACTGACTCATCGATTTCCCGAAGGGTCAAAGTTAGTAAAGTTTGAAACAAATAATGTACATCTTGAAACCTTGCATACCGTGCATTGTACTGATATATAAAATCAAGTATTCAAACAAAACTTTGTTTGAATGCAGGATTTTGTATAAATAATACACAATTTCAATTTAATTGGAAGACGTATTGATAAATGATTCCCAAGTGGGGTGTGCTATTCAGTTGTATCAATATTTAATATTGTCAACATTGCCATACTGAGCTTAGTCTACGTTCCCTCAGAATGAAGTATGGAATTTGGGGGGCGGGGGTTGTTTATTTATTAGTAAAAGGATATTTACTTCACAAAAGAAATAATTAGAATTATGAAGCCGAATGTTGTGGTTTAGTTGTGAGCGCTTTTGCATCGCATTTAGGAGGTCCTGGGTCATTTACTTCAGCTTGTCCACTTCACTTTCACCTACGAGACATTTTACCTATGTTTTGATCAGTGACTACATTTTAACCTACTCTATAATAGTTAAAACGTTGAGGGTACTGTTTCGACGACACAAAACATTTCTTTTCTGACAGATCAGCAGAAAAAATGTGAAATCCATTGGGACGTTAGAAATACTTGTTATCTACAGTTTCTTAATGTACTGTGAATCATAAGGAGTACTATGAACTTAGACTGCTGCAAACTGTTATATTGTATGCATTTACTTTTCCTTACGTTTGGTTCGTACTTTAGTTGCAGTTTTAATTTTCTATTCAGTTAGGATGGTTACCCATATTGGGTCTAAGAAGGCACTTCAGTTTAATAGGTTAGACTTGTGCTTTTGTGGGACTGTGGCATGGTAGAGCAATATGGTTTTAGCATGGAGCTAAAGATCTGCAACATCTTTCTCTTGGTCGCTACTCAGTGCCTTCTACTAACCATGGTCATTTCTAGTCTCTTTGTATTAAACACAGATTGTCATTGGTCATTTTGAAATCTAGTGAAATAACAAATGAAACGCATTATCCGAAGTGGGAAAGATTGTGCAAATTTCAAACGGTTGTGGTGTGTTTGTATACGTATATATTTATAAATAGTTTGACCTTGTGACATTAATGTGAACTGCAACATGCAATCTCCGTATTTATAATAGGATTTAATTAATACTATCAGTATAATTTTGTGTGTTGCAAATTGCTCCTTTTTTTGGAATTAGGCATTTCATAGTTTAATTGAAATGCTTGTATTAGAACATCCAGTAAGAAATAGGAGATCCAAAGCGCGGTTGCTTTGTTTATTCGTGATATTAATAAGAGGTGTTGATTCGTCAGTCCTCGACTGGGTTTGGGGGTCATCTAAAGAAAATGCGGATCCTAGACCTAAAGTCGGCGATGCCCCTGTTGTCAAGGTTCCTTTTGAAGTAACGGCAGAGGATGAAAAATTTCTTCAAGAAGCAAAGAAATACACGAATCTCAAGTTGTCAGACCTCGACTCCTGCCAACATCATGTTAGTAAGGGTTTATTAATGATATAAGCTATACTGATGAGGAATAGACATTGGATTGTTCACTATTCTTCCTTATTTATACATGAGATAAGGGAATTTTGATGACGTTAAAGCAATTTATGGAATCTTTGCAGATTGTCATGAAGATCCGCAATTCATGCTCAGATATGACAGAAGAGGAGCTGGCAAAAATGAGTGTGAACCTACTAAACTGTCAGTCTGCAGTTGAGGGGAGAAAGCAGTTTCCCTGTACTAAGAGTATGGTGAGTTTTAAGCTTTCATTGGTGTAGGGCTGAGTATTAGTAGAATGAGGTAGAACGTACATGGGCATACCCCATTAGTGATAGATCAAAAATGATCAAGTCATGTGGGTTGTAATGCCATGTAGTCTGGTAGAGGCTTACCAGTGTTTCGGATGGAGGCAAGAGGTACCTCTGAAATGTTGGTAAACTTCTACCAGACTACATGGTGCTACAACCCAGAAGACAGCCATCCTTATACTTGCTGCCATAATAAAATCAAATCCTGTCAGATATGTACAGCTTTTTATACTCACAGACTGAAACATTCATATCTGCAAAAGATATAGTTCTGGAAGGCGAAGTACACCTGGTCCCCACCATGTAGTTATTCATTAATTGATGAAATTCATATTCTAATTCCTTATAAAAATCAGGCCTTTGTTTTATCACATTTATCCTCAGTTGGTGCATGCATATTCAGATCGAGATCACAACACCAGTTTCCTCTTAGTTTTTTACAAGGTGTTTCTGAAATACCTGTGTGTACATAGACAATTTATGTTGTTTTTGTCACAGAACATTCCCCAAAAGTGGTGCTATGTGTTTCAGTAACATTCTGTGTATGACATCCTACCATTAACAGACTCTACCATCATAACTGCTGGTATGATTCTCGTTTATTCAAAGACTTGTCCCAAGTGTTGATTAACATTCCCAGTTCTGCCTTACATTTTGAAGATTCTGTTCATACTGTTTTCTAAGGACCTGTCTTACAGTTTCCAAATCTCATGGCCATTTTCTGTTGCATCATTCATTCCAAAGAATCTGTTCAAGCCCAAGGCCGTGTATAACATATTGTAAAATGCTGGGTTTTGCAGTGAGGAGTTGTTAACCCCCAGCCCAACCCAAGCTTGAGGATTACCCTTTGTCAGCTGTCTTCAATTGCTCATTATATTTACAGCTCCTCTTCATACATCTGTAGGCCTTCTCCATCTGTAGCCTATGAGCACACCTGCTCTGTTGTCAATTGATGATCATTTATTCATTATTGTCCGTACGGCACGAGATTAGACTTGGCCTTGTCAGCCATTGCTTGTGTGGCAGGGGGAAAGTGGTTTCTGCTCATGCGCTGGTGATGTATTCCTTACCTAAGAACATTGTGCTATCAGTCAGTCAGTCAGTACATTAGCTCACGACTTACGGCCTGTATAAGCTGTGGGTGTTTTTCGGTCTGCTAGTAGCACAGAATTCTACCCCCAACTCCCTCAAAGATGTCAAGTCTACTCTCGTGCCTCGCGGACAATATTTCAGCAATACTTCTTGAGCTGTGTAAATTGCAAAGCTCAGTTTTCAATTTAGTATATGTCTCTGTCATCCTCATTAAATGGTGACTTTATGAGGACACAGTGGAATCTGTGCAAAGCAGTGGTAGCTGCCAGTGGTCTAAAAGAGTAAATGAATGACCTCTGTTGTGACTGCAGACTCTTCGAGAGTGCACAAGTTCGATGGACCCAGACATGTGGAATACATACCACTTGATGAACAACCGTGCCAGAGCTGTTTGTTATGCTGCTAGGCACCAGCAATTCCGAGCCCTGTCAGAGTTGACAGTCAACAAATTGATGGATTCTGCCCAAAGTCAGCTTAACACAATGAACTCACTCAAGGTAAATTACTACATAAATTACAAAGTGGCGAATCTTTGAATTTATCACATTGAAATGTACAGCGTGGTTTTATGTGTCCTGATTCCAAGCTGTGGAATTCAGAACACATGGTCAACCATGGAACAAGTTTTTATTTTGTTTTATTTTTCAGTCCTAAGTTGTCGTGGTTATTGAATTGGAAGGTTTATCAAGTCTTTATTCTATCAGGGCTGTGGAGTCAGAGTCGGTGAAAATGTACCAACTCTGACTCCGATCTCGATATAAAAATCTTAAGAAAATACTATTTTAACACTTTTGCTACCGTGTGGGCCGCCGGCGGCCTCACGCTTAGGGAGATTCAATGACGCGTTGAGCCACATTGTGTGGGAATAATGCTTTGTAACTTTGGCTCTGGTACCTTAAGAATACAAACTGTCTACAAATCAACCGATTTCTGCAATACTCTTATGAATTATATTTGTATATAGGTTATAAGTGTAATGAGTAGTGTGATGATTCACGTGGTGGTGATGAAATCTCTTATGGTGCCATTTACCATTTTAGTAGGTTTACCATTATTAATGCATATTGAGCTTTTATGAAGGAGTCGGAGTTGGAGCCAGAGTCGGAGATTTTAGTACCGACTCCACAGCCCTGGTTTCTACCTACAAGTCTACGCAGTATCAGAACCCAGAAGAACATTGTCATCTTTGGCATGAGGACCTTGAATCTCACATATTGCATAAAGTTATGTTCCCATAATGACAACAGAAGAAACCGGTTCTGTTGAAGGAAGTGCTTTATCTATCTCTGTAAATAATTGTTGCATTTTCATGGATACATGTGCATTAGTCTGTAAATGTAATGTACAAATTATGATGATACATATATAAGTATAAGAAAAATAATGATAGTAATAGATGATTACTGTAATGTTATGAACACCTTTGGAATTGCAGTGTACTCCAAAGAGTATACCTTCCCATGCTTTTTTATTTTTTCCATGAACATCTTCAGGCATCCATTCTCCTTCAATATTGAGAATAGGTTAAATGATTGCTGTTTATGTCAACTTGCAATGACCTCCTGTAATGTAGGTGAAGTATTATGCCTGAAATGAATGAAGCATCTTTCCTGTAGCCCGTACCCTCTGTGATACGAGGCGAGTCCTCAAAGTAAGTTTCCCACTCGTCCCACAGCTAGCAAACCTTATATTGCGCGAAGCAACTGTGCGTACGTGATAGAGCAATGACGTAGCATGGCGCATGCACTAACGGCACCTCCCGCGTTCTCACAGTAGCATTGTTGCAGCTGTTGAAGATGGAGGTTCTTATTCCAGCTCCCGCCGACTGTGAAGTGCGGTCAGTGATAACGCTAGGCCGCACACTGCTCGACGGACAGCAAGTCTCCTGCAGGAGTTCAGCTGGGAGGTGTTTAATCATTCACCCTACAGCCCGGACCTCGCTCCCAGTGATTTCCATCTTTTCCTACACCTCAAGAAATTCCTGTCCGGTCAGCGTCAGCGTTTTGAGAATGACAGAGAGGCGGAGATGGCTGTCACACAGTGGTTCCAATCCCAGGCGGCAGACTTCTACGACACAGGTATTCAAAAGTTGGTCCCACGGTATGACCAATGTCTCAATTCCGGTGGCGAATATGTTGAAAAATAGCTGGACACTTGCTGTATCTGTTGCAATAAATATTTCCATGAAATTGTGTTTTGTTTCTGTAAACGGCCCCAGGGAAACTTACTTTGAGGACGCGCCTCGTATTATCATATCTTATATTGAGAGATTTTAATAAAATAGAAGTCTAGGATTATGCTTTCAAAGAATAACTGCCGTAGGGCTCGACTGTCAGACACGGACTTCTCTTAAGCTCTGTAATTGTGTTAATAAGATAGCAGTGAAAGTGCTGATGGTATGCCCCATGTGTGGTAAACATGATGGATACTTGAGCAGTTATCTGATATGTTGCAGGACGGCCAGCAGAAGTTGGAGGTCCTGACATCCAACACAATGGAGTCAGTGTCTCTTGGCCACAAGTCCCTTATGGACCAGCAAGAAAAGTTAAGAGTTACACAACGTAATATTCAGGATTTTGTAGCCCTGAACTTGCGAGAACTGACACGAGAGAAAGCGCTGATAGCAGCAGGTCACCGTGAAATTGCCAAGATGACAGAGGATGTTAAGAAGAAACTGGGTCAGTATGATTTCCAAAAAATATACCCCTTGTCATCTGATTTGGCATATGTATTTCGTTTACATTTGTGTAATTGCCTCTTTGTCTTCTCAGATGAACCTCTCTGGATGCTGAACACCTTCCACATTTTCCTCATATTCTCCATTTCATACTCATATTATACCACACTGGTTCTTCCAGGTTTATGAATTTCTTGGTTTTAATTCACATATGACTACCATCTGCCATGATTACTTAATGGCACATATCCTCCATAGTTTCAGTACACAAAGCAATGAGTTGCATTATTAAGACTGATTTTTTTGGGGAGCAGTTTTTCTTTAAGGTAACCCCAAAGGAAGAATTCGCAGGGGTTATGTCCAGGCTATTGGGTGGTCACTTCTGTTCACGTCCATGGCGAGCAGGATATTGAATATGTTCACATTCTGTGGCCATCGGTGAATGAATTTGCATGAATGTTACTCCATATTTAACCTTGTAATCTACTTTCTTGACTGTTAGGCCACTGTGGCTTATCAGATTTCAGTATTTCTCCACATTTCTGTTATAATTTCTTGGACTTTACCTGCTTATAGTATTTTTAATACCATGTTTTGAAACAAGGCAACCAGTGGTTGAGATTAGTTCATTCAAATCAGATTGGGTTCCTTGTGTCCAAAGACAGAAATTGATTAAGTGCAAGAAATTATAACTAACCTCAAAACTGGTGTTTTGATAAATTACAAACACGTCTACAAATTTGATTTTTGTATATAAAACTTTACATTCTCAGTATCTGAATGAAACTGGAGGATTATGTTGGACGTGTTTGGAAAAGTAGAAAATTATGCTGTGCTTACTATGCACAAAGATCCGTAAGCTGTATAATTGTGTAGCATTTATTTGCATTTAGATGGAAGCAGGAATCCTTTAAAGGGTAATGAATGGGATTGTTAGAATATTTTCTGAAAGCGATAATATTGGTACTTCCTTTACTTGCTTTACAATTATTAAGTTTATTGAATTTGATTCAACTTTTGGTCAGACTAAAGTGAGAATTGTGACACCTGATGACAGTGGTTGAAGGTCATGTTTGTGATGTGACAGATGAGGCAAGTTCAGACCTCAGCAGCCAGGTGAATGAACGTCGTGAGAATCACAAGCAACTCCTGGAAGATCTGGACACCATTCTGGACCAGGTGTCTCTCATCTGGAAGAGTATAGGTAAAGAGTATACTCAGTCTTAAGAGCTTTCTGCCCATGATTATTGTGTATATACAGATATACAGTATAACCATGAAAGATGAGTAGAGCGTATAACAAGAACTTTATGATGGCAAACAAAAAATATTAGCACGATGAATTTCTTAACATTACATGTATGGAGAATGTTGCATAAAGCGTGTTTTCATAACATGCATTTCCTAACGTCTTCAGTAAACTCCTATGCATGTGCAGATTATCTCTGTATGACCCTTGTCACACATGTGATCTGTGCTTTTGATATTTCTGCACTGTTCTATCTGTTTTTGAGGGTGGGGGTTATTTCTTCCAAAGATGTCTCTGTATATTCTGCAGCTTATCCGAGAACAAAATAGGAAGACGTTGCAGACTAATCTTGACATTATTGACCTTTCTGTAGAGCAACAAATATTATAAGCTGTTTTGTGTGATGGAAAGCCAGTGTATTCCAATCATGGCATTTAGATCCACCATTTTTATGCATATTTTTTCTAAGGGTTGGTTTGACTTAAAGTTGTTTGTGGATTATATCATTCAGGTTCAATACAAACTGATGTGTTTATTCTAACATTTGTGTGCACATTGAATTACGGGCAGAATGTGGGTGCCCAGCAAGTTCTTGGTAGGATTTGCAGGTGCATAGCTGATTGTGGGCTGGTCTGTTGCTTGTAAAGAATAGCTCAAAGTCATTATTTACATAAGAACTTTCTTGCAAGACGTAAGGCATATTTTAAAAGCCATGCAAATGTCATGTTCACTTACACATTCTTTCAAAGGAATCAAAGTGGCATTATGTTTTACTGTGCTAGTCAGCATCTTCCATTTTGTGAGCATTTTGTATGCTGATGGTCGTATCTGTAACAACTGACTTTTGTGCATTGATAAAGTGTGTGTAACAACACTTTGGTTTACATAACTTTGATGTGTAATTTCTTTGGTCTTACTTAGTGATGAGTACTGTTTGAATATCTGCTACGGTGGTCTAGGGGTTAGAACGCTGGCCTTGTAATCCTGGGGTCTCGGGTTCGATTCCCGGCGGTGCCCGAATTTATAACTTGTGTTGGGCAAGATCGTGGTCTAGGCAACACGGAGTTTTCCTCCAGGGGCTTTCCCGGTTTCTCCGTGGCATCCCAACAATTACTCCATTCACACACAGAAGAAGGCAATGGCAAACCACTTCTGGATCATCTGCCAAGAACGTATATGAACAGGTCCCAGTCCGAGAAAAGGATGGAAGGATCCTGTTCATATGGACCTGTCGTCAGACAGAACACTACAAATAAAAAAAAACTGTTTGAATAAGTTGTTGCCACGTCTGTCAGCCTTCGTCAACCAAGCAATTCAGTAATGGACTCTGGGAGGGAAGGTCATATGTTGACAGCCCTTACTCCCGCATGTGATCTAATAAACCTGTCACTTGTGCAAACAAGATGAGATACAACTGGCACATTTTTTATCCAGTGTGAATTCCAATAACAGTCTATTAAATTAAACTGGCCCAAGAATATTTTGATCAAGGTATCACTCTTCAACGTGGGCAAGTTGTGCTCGTAACATCATCATGACAAACGTGCATTTGATTTCAATTCCAGATCACAGCACGCAGGAGATCATTGCGCAGCATGCGTCTGCAGCAGCACAGTACAATTCAACACTGCACAAGCTGGCACAGATCAACATCACAGTGAACTACCTTCTGAATCTGCTGGATAAAACGAGACAGGTGAGTGTGCATTTTGCTGTCTGGTGGTAGATTCGGTTTTGCTCCGTTTACTAGAAATACAGACTCGGGATAGGAAGGTAGCAAATTTAAATGTTGCATATTTCTTTGGAGTGGTGATACGTTTCAGAAAGTTATTGTTTAATGGGATCTGCAGTATGTACATATGTCTGATACTCTTGTTCACATCCAACTGAGCTAATTACTCAGTCATTGAATTTTGGGTGCTAAGTGTCGTAAGCAATAATTTTCGTCCACTAGAGCAGGGCGCTCCTTTCGGAGCTCCTAGGGGGGATTGGTCAAGTTTGTAAAACGCAACCAACCTTGGTTAGTCCCAAAGGGGAGTTAGTTTAGTGTCTCATTCAAGTGTTTTAACCCCTGAGTAAGAAACTAAACTAACCCCCCCGAATGGGGGATTAAAACACTTGACCAACCCCCCCGAAGAGGGTTAGTTGCGTTTTAAAATCTTGAGTAAGACACTAAACTAACTCCCCTTTGGGACTAACCAAGGTTGGTTGCGTTTTACAAACTTGACCAACCCCCCCGAAGAGGGTTAGTTGCGTTTTAAAATCTTGAGTAAGACACTAAACTAACTCCCCTTTGGGACTAACCAAGGTTGGTTGCGTTTTACAAACTTGACCAACCCCCCCGAAGAGGGTTAGTTGCGTTTTAAAATCTTGAGTAAGACACTAAACTAACTCCCCTTTGGGACTAACCAAGGTTGGTTGCGTTTTACAAACTTGACCAACCCCCCCGAAGAGGGTTAGTTGCGTTTTAAAATCTTGAGTAAGACACTAAACTAACCCCTGTGTATAAACAAATATAAGGTGATATTGTTGATGACGTCATTTTTTGACGACAAATTGGTTGAAGACAACGAGGAATCACAAATTTTTATAATATAAGAATATGCATTTCCACCAGGACAGATCATCATATGACAAATGCTCATTCATTCTGTTTTGTATCTGTCTCTTTTTCATTTTGGCAATACGTTCTGTTTATTTCTTTTCGGTAATGCGTATCTGTGGCAGTTCACATGGCTGATGGTAGTGACTCGTGCACTGTTGCTGTTTTGTAGGAAATTGATGAGCGTCTAGGTTGGCTCACCAGTCTGATTGGGGATACTGGAAACCAGTTGGGTCATGTTTACAGCTGTGTGCTCCATGCTCTGTACTTGATTGTGGGGATGATAGCTGCGTCATTTGTCAGAGCGCCAACCCTCACACGTGCTTTCCTCCTCGTCATTGTGCCTCTGAATCTTGCTGCTGTGTACCATCATGGAGATTCTGCTTCCCTCGACTTCCTCTCCATGACTATACTCATCTTTGCGTCAACAGCAGGTATGTGACTTTACCTCATAATTATATTATGTTTCATTTACAAAATGGTCAGGGGAAACATGAAGTATAGTGATGCCTACTTTAGCCATTTTACTCTAAATTAAAATTGTAGAATCTTTTCATTATCAGGATAAATGCAGTGAAAATAAATGTAATTCATTCATTTCGTATTCTGATTTGATTGTGTTTCTACAGCAAGTTTCCTTGGCATTACAGCTGTAAAGCAAAATTATATATTATGCATAAATGTGGCCCACACCATGTAATCTTCTGGCATTATGGGACGACCAAACTTTATAGCAGGAATATCTGATTTCCTCCTGAGTCTGCACTTGTAATAAATCTCACTGTACATAAGCGGACTGCTAAACAGTCCAGTTATCTCTGTTTCACAACTTATGTAATGAATACTAGGTTCACTGCATAAACTGACATGTACAGAAGCACATTTCATCAGATATTTCACAAGTAGCTTATCATATCAAAACGTTATTTTAAAATATTTATGGATTTTAATTTTTATTTTGCTATTTTCAAAAAAGAAGTTCATGTAAGCCTTTAAGTACAGGAAAAAATTTATTCTCACAGTTTAAACATATCACTTTATTTTGTTTACAATTAGAAAGTTAATCAAGGTTTATTCCCAAAGTGCCTTCCTCATACTCTGTCATAGACAGACGTATGTTTGTTACATATAATTTGTAAAAAATGCGCTAGTTTAGTTTACACTTCTCAGAGTTTATATAATCGTTTAGCTACCTCTACCACTGTGTGTGCAAGGATCTGCAAAAACAATACAATAATTGCTTATGGCAGGTAGTTAAGTGCTGTCGGTATACTTACAGGGTTAGCTCGACTGTTTCGAAGTTAAGAGAAACAAATCTTCACTATGTCAGATGATCAGCTTGTCATAATTTTGTTTCTAATGACATTGCCTGACATCTATACTCCATGGCTCCTCCAGTCAGCACTATGGTTAATGCCAGACTGACATCATTATAACTGTGTGTGTTGACTGACAGCGCATGAAAGGAGGAAGGTGGTATAACATTATGGGTTACTGAATTTTCTTGTGCGCTTCCGCACTCTTTATAATGGTGCATATTCCTTTTGCAGTCCACTGTATAATCCAGGCAGTGCTTCATTATTGGACACCCAGACAGCCTGGGCCCATATACTACCTCCACGGCAGCCAGTCGCCACCAGTGACCAATGGTTTTGTTCCCAGTCCATTGTCGCCTGTGAAGCCCGTTGCTTCTGTACTGGCCCAAAAGGGTTTCATTGAAAAGCTGCGGTGCTTCACAGCAGACATGCTCAGAGGACTTAAGTGTGAGTTGAATCCAGATTGAGGAACATTGCAAATGTATGCCACATTTTTACAATTTGCATATCCTAAAAGTATGGTACAGCTTATCAGAATATGCTTTTTAATGAAAGATAATTGGTCTTTATCATGGTTGAATAGGAATTTATGCATGTGGTGTTTGACATAGGAAAATGCAGAACTGTATCTTCATTGGAGACAGTGAGTGGGGGGAGGAGCCTAAACATAATCATTTATCTTCAGTATTTTTTGTGGCTGGTTTCAGGACACTACTTGTTTCTTTGCTTCCAGCTCTTGTGAGCAGTTTGATCAACCGCAGCAAGTCAGTGTCAGCTGCTGACTCACCCATTGGGAACACGAGGTTTGACAAGGGGCACCGTATTCCCACCCCTGTGTCTGATGAGGACATAGGTGATGACTCTAGTGACAGTGATGAGGTTGCCTCTCAGGACAACTTGCAAGAGGTGAATTCTGGTTTTCTTGATATATAAACCTGATGGCATGTAACAAATGCCATGACACAGAGGCAGGTTATGTGTTTATCTTAATTCTCTCAGATACAGTAGATGCTGCTTAATGTGTTCACTGATTATTAGAATCAGTCACTTTATTGAATCAGATTTTTGAGAACAGGTTCAAATCACCAAAATGCAGCATGTTTTCAGCATTTATTGGAATCACATTTCTGGTTATAAGAAACATTGTTTCCTACACTGAAGGCTGGTTCGCATTTTGGGCAAATGTTGGGGAAGGTCACACACTCTGCTATGCTTCGATATGGTCACTCATCCCTTCTGCGTAAATGTTTTTGTTTAATAAATGGGGGATTGGGGCTTTAGTGCATGTGCCCGTGCCTGTCGAGCAGAATATCTCCAGAGCAATAGTTGAACAGCTAATACGAGCACACACATCTATTACATTCCATGTATCCATAAATTACTCTGATGACAACAGAAAGTAGAATAGGTCATAACAATACAATACATATGTCGCCCTCGGTGGACTAGTGGTTAGCGTCCTCGCCACTGGACCCAAGGTTCGCGGGTTGAAGCCCGGCCGAGGTGGATGGATTTTTAAGGGCGATAAAAATCCATAGCACAACGTCGTTCGGAGGGGAAGTAAAGCTGGAAGTCCCATGTTGTAGATTTACAGCATGTAAAAGAACCTTACGAGCATGAACGAGATGTTTCGTAAGCAAAATTCAGCAACCGTTTCTCACCCAAATCAGAATTAAGTAGAAATTGTGCAGAGGCAGTGGGCGTCTCACTCACTACTCATAAATGCACACTTCAAAGACAGAAACCTCCCACGTGGGAGGAGACCAAGGCTCGACTTTGGGCTGTTGCGCCATGGAAGAGGAAGAAGAAGGAGAATACAATACATATGTGCATATTTCAAGTGTAGTTTATGCTGTTATTAGGATTTTACATATACGAGGTCTGGCAAAAATAGTGAGATTGGTGCTGTAACTAGGCAACAAATAATAGTAAGGTCAAAATAAATATTTTTATCAGGCCATATTTAACCTTGATGTAGAAATTGCTCAGTGTGTATTTAATCAAGCCAAGGAGAAAGGGTAAAGAGGAAAATAAGGATGAACCTGAATGAATTGAAGTTAGAAAATGGGAAACTTACAAAGCTGTTGACATTCTGAGAAGATTTTTGAAAGTAAGTGGAGCAACTGAATATAGACCTTTATGCAGTATTGAAAATTGTCTCAATGGGGCATGTGCTATTAATTCAAAGAAGGCTAAAGTAAGTGAATATTTAAATAATTATTATTTAAATATTCACTATAATTATAATACTAATGTTAAATTATATAATAAAGTATAAATTTTTGTTGGATACATTACTGTATAAGACATGTAATACTCTTAATGATTTTAGCCTATTAGAATTGTCATTTAGTAGAATCAAAATATAATTTATAAATGTAATCACAATAACTGGCTCATACTGTGGGTAACCATATTTTTTTAGTGATTTGCATTAAGCAAAAATAAGGTTGAAAAAGCAAGGCAAGTTTAAATACATGAAATAAGCAGGAGAGAACAATTGATTCGGAAAGAAAGCTGCCCCAATTCCATATTATAGTTGTGGACACAGTGTGTAATATTATGGAACTTCCCATTCTCCCAACAGGAAAGTGCGTTGTATGAAGCATAATTAAACATTCTTGTTACCAGTGACCCACCAATCCATTTGTCTGTCAGAACCGTAGATGCAAGATGTCCTAAAAATGTCAGTGTACTGTGTGGTTGATTGCTGTATGATCATTTTGTTTTTATTGTATCAAAATATTTAGGTGACATATGGTAGTCTGTGGAGCTTATTTGAGTATTTATAATATTCAACATAGATATCAGTTTTTGGAATGTATTTTATTTTTATTTGTGTGTTTTGGGTTTGTTTGTGAGCAGTGAGGCAATTAAGCAAAATTTAAGAAGAACAGTGTTCTGATGTACTATTTATTGAGAAATAATAGTGAACCAATAGGAATTGTCTGCAGTGGTGAAAGTAACATGGAATCTGATATTAGACATGTAGTTTCGGCAAAGTCAAGGAACTGCTATAACCTTTCCTCCAGCAATTTGTTGGAAGCAGGGGTCTCTAATTAGGAAAAATAATCTCACATTATACTGGCTTCAAACATGCTCCACTTCATTGTAGCTCATACGTAGCTGTGGGTAAAACTTGGAGAGATAGAAATCTATTAAGTGCTTACCTGTAATTTTGTTCCTCAAACTTAAATACATCCATGAAAGTAAAAGATTTTAGGAAATGCCAGAGATAATTTAAAGAGCAAGGAGGGAGTGCAAGAATATCATGAAGGATAAGTACCAGACGAGTTACAAGTGGCAGGATCTCAGGGAATCATTGAAAGATTATCTGAAGGGAATAAACTTGTTTGATATGACCTCTAAGTGTCATAATAATAAAATAATTAGTCCTCATAATCATCAGTAGGTGGAGTTGAATGTTCATTAGCTGTATATTTATATGAAATGGTTTTACTCATTTTAACTTTTCTGTGTGTACTACTTTTATGTTAGGGTCTCACACACTACAACGGTGGCAGCAGCGACTTTCTGAATGTCCATTCTGGCATACCCCCCTTGAGGCAGCGCTCTTCCACACCGCTATACACTGCATCCATGCGTGTCTCATCTAGGAGGTGAGTTACTGTCTAAATCAGTGGTCCCCAACCTTTTTGTTCCTACGGGCACATTTGAGAGTTTATGGGATCGTGGCGGGCACCAACCAATTAACAAAGCCAAATTTTCTTTTCTCTGGACAAATAAGATATGGACACCAAATAATACACAAAACAACACGACATTTAACGATACAAGAAACCATGCAATCAAAAATACGTAGTTTTATAAGTACAATTATTATTACTCAAGTGGGAAGTTAGTGTGATGTTTGGCACTGCATTTTATCGGCCAGTTTTTCAAATTTGGGAGTGTAGGATGATGTTGCTGCTCGCAAACAATCGTCAAGATGGGCGTCAGTAAGTCGAGATCTGCGCTTTGATTTTATAATGTTCGTGGTTGAACGGCCTTCATTATTCAGTATAACATCTTTCTGTATCAACGTGGGCACCCAAAAAAAGCCTTGGCGGGTGCCATGGCGCCCGCGGGCACCGCGTTTGGGACCATTGGTCTAAATGATGTGATTGTGCCAGTTGGTTCATTAGTCAGGTGTCATAATAGCTTCTAGTGACTCTGAAATGCATTACAATAACATGTTTTATACATTTACAGAGAAGTGTTGGGGTATTAATGGAATCCAGAATACTAAGGATTTATGTCTTTCTTAGACAACATTGCTTTCTATTAAAAGGACTGCTTCATAAAAGTCAGGAGAGAGGCTTTATATTTGGCATTCTACTTTCAGTTTTCTGTAGGTGCAACAAATCTGTTATATGTATGTTCATTTATCTCTTAAAACCCAATCATTTTCAAATCAGTGGATAAAACTGATTTTATTGGTGGAATTTTCCCATTTTCTTGAGCTCCCACATTTTATACTGCAAAACCGTTGTTCCATTCCTCTTGCTTAAAATTCCTTCCATCACTATATACATTTCTCAGTCCGTCTGTTTTGGTTGCCTCTGAGTTATGTTTTTGTACTTTCCACTGTTAACATTTATCCTCACCTCATTCTTTACAGTGGGACACCTCGACCAATGTGCCTTGCCATCTGTCGGAATGGTCAACAGTGTCGCAACAGTGCGTCCCTGGGCAGTGATGTGTGTCGCAGGCATGCCTTTGATTCATCATTTCGCTGATACTGAAAGGAGTCGAGGTAGTGTAAAAGGAGCTTAACGACTACTATCTGAGTCAAGTTTGTAGGTATCAGCTTTATTTTGGTATAGACCGAGCCAAATAAATCTATGAAAGAGGTGGCTGGATTGAGAGGCAGGGGACAGGGAATGAAACAAGCTACTAGTAATCATAAAACCATTACTTATTACAGATGACAAGAAAAAATGTAAGAATATTAAGAAGTACATTCAAGCAAGAAGAATTTAATATTAATATAAAATCATCACTTATTAATCAGTAGGGTTCGGATGTTCATGACATGTCATATTTTTATTGGGGCTTCTATTTTCATTCTAAACTGAAATTAAACACTAATTGAGTGATTATAATCACAATTAGACTGTATTTATTTCGCATATAAATGCATATTTAGGTCATTTTTATGTTTTTGGTCATATTTGTGGTTAAATGCATTTTTTGGTTATATTTTGAGGATAAAATTCTTACTTGTAAGTAAATTTCTTAGGCATTTATGGTGAATACTTCAGTTACCTAAGATGCCAAAAGTGAAGTGTTCTGAAGGTGCGTAGTTAAGAGGTTTCGTTAAAGATTTCGGCGAGGAATATTTTAGTTCTGATGGAACAATTCTGTTCTGTAAACTTTGTGAAGTTAAAGTTACAGTTGGTAAGCGATTTAATGTGCAGCAGCATTGTGATACGGCAAAACAAAAATAATTTGAGCCGATAAACCAGTCATCAAAGCAAGCAACGACTTCTGTTCGATAACACTGCAACAACTTCACCATCAAACAAAACATTGAAATTTTCAAAGGACCTGTGTGAAATGATGGCGTCTGCCAACATACCATTGAACAAAGTGAACAATGAGCAGTTAAAAACTTTCTTGAAGAAATTGGCAACTCAGTTCATTCTAGACAAATCAACACTGCGAAAAAAACTATGTACCTGCCTGTTATGAAGATGTTCTAAAAAGAATTACATATACTGTGGGCGACAATAAGGTTTGGGTTTCGATTGATGAAACATCAGATGTCTGCGGCAGATATGTAGCGAAAGTCGTTATTGGCACGCTCTTTGCTGACTGCCCTGGTGAAATATTCCTTCTTGATTCCGAAGTTTTTGATACAGTAAACCACTCCTCTATTGCTGTACTTTTCTATAACGCCATGAAACTCTTGTGGAAAGGTGACGTTAAGTGAGACAATATCCTCCTTTTTGTAATGGTCCCTGCGCCGTATATGGTAAAAGCTGTCAAGGGCCTCATGATGCTTTATTCAAAAATGGTCCATTTAACATGTCTCGCTCATGCCCTGCACAAAGTTGCCGAAGAAATTAGACATAGTTATACTGAAGTCGACAAGCTGATCTCGAACATTAAGAAAATTTTTGTTAAAGCTCCATTGAGGGTGCAGAAATTCAAACAACTCGCACCTTCATTGCTTCTTCCTCCTCAGCCGGTACTCACTCGATGGGGTACCTGGCTTTATGCTACTGAGTACTACTGCGAGAACTACGCAGTTATTGAAGAAATTGTTAATAGTTTTGACAGCAGCAAGGTATTTTCTATCAAAATTGATTAAAATTGCTAGGAAATCAAGTAATGTAATAGTTGTACATGCATATGTAAATAAATAACATGATTGAAATACAAATTGTTTTTTTTTAATATTAGCGAATATTTTTTCATAACAAATTAGGTCATATTTTGCCTTCTTTGGGTCATATTTAGCTATTTTTGGGGGCATATTTGCATGCATATCTCTGAGGTTTTTAGGTCATGACCATCCAAACCCTACTAATCAGTGTTCATGTGCTTTGACTTGGCATCAGATTGTATTCTGCCAAGTTTAGAGAGGTTATTATCAGTGTTCTGGCCTTCATTGCTCCCTAACTTTGCTGGTCAAACTCTCCATATTTGTGGTAAAATAAATTGAAGGGCCTGCCCCACATTTGTAAACACAAGCAAAAGAAGCAAATAAATTTGTTTGTTACCAGAAAAATTCTAAGGTCTGTACAAAATTCTCTGCGCTCGGTCTCTTATCTGACCCAGTCTCGGCCTTGCCAGGACCTGTCCTCACCGAGGCTTGACCCTGCACACACTCGTTTTCGCCGTGAACCGGTCTATGCCAGTCTGGGTATCTGGTAATACCACCTTAAAAATTTGATTCGGTGAATGCCTTTATATGTGTCTGCCGGACTCGGCTTCTATCTCACCCGTTTGCTGAATAACTCTGTGTGCAAAAACTGGCAAGTCCAAAATCACGAAGAGACCCAAGTTCCGAAAACTCCCATGTCGTGAGGAGTCCAATATCCCAATTCGCGAGAGGTCGCATGTCCCAAGTCGTGAGAAATCTCATGTCCCAAGTCTAGAGAAGTCGCATGTCCC